TTAATCTATTTAATCTATTTAATCTATTTAATCTATTTAATTTATTTAATTTATTTAATTTATTAAATCTATTATTTTTAACTGTTTATTATATAATCTCGAATCTATTTAAAAATTTTTTTATTTTTAAATCTTTTTATAGTTCTTCGAGCTACATCTTATCTATAAATCTAAAAATAATCTAATTAAATAGCTAGTTAAAAATAAAAAAATAAGTTATTAAAATATTATTAGTTTATTATTTATTTTATTATTTTATTTATTATTATTTATACCTGCCAGCCCGTAATTTAACAGTAGGTTTTTTTTTAAATTTAATTTATAATACAGATAATTCAGCTTTTTTAAATAGAAAATAAAAATATAATAGACTATCTAAGCTGGAGTAAAAAAAAACTCAACTGGAGTAAGTATATTATTAAATATCTATAATTATATAACTAAAAAATTCTATATATTTTTATTAGTAATTATGACTATTAATTTATAACAGATCTATCTTATGATTTATATTCCGGATTATTATTCTAGTAGTTTTTTAGTATCGCGTACTATTTTTAAACTAATAGAAATACGGAGTATATTATTTAGATACTTAAAGTTATACTTTATTATACTATAACTAAAAGTCTTTTATAGTTATTACAGCTTTTTTTTTTTATTATTTTTTTTAATAGTTCTGTCTATTTGTTTACTGGTTTAATATTTTATTATTTTATATATAGTATTAATCTACACGAATTATAGTACTTGCTTAAAATATTTAATTAATTATATTAATAAAAAAAATAAAACTTTATATCTTTTTATTTTAATACAAAAGATGCTATTAAGTATACTGCTATATATATAAAAAATTAGTATAACTGTATATATATATTTATATTTTTTAATATTAATAATAAGATATATCTCTACTTTTATAAAAAATATAATTTTTTTGTTATTTCAGCGAAAGACATTCCGAAGAAGTTGGAATATTAGTAGTTTAATTTTTTTTATATTTTTAAATATATTAGTTGTTTATTTTATTATTTTAAATTATTAAAGATGTATTATATATATTCGGTTATATTAGTTATATAGTTAAAACCAGCTTCTAAGAATAAAGACACCGAAAATAAAAATAATCTATTTATTAATTTTTTTAGTCAATAGTTTTAAAAATTTTTTATAGTTAATAAAGCTGCTGATAAGTAAAAAATTGAGTATATTCTTAATAAATATATATATTAATATAATTAAGGATTTATATATACAGAGTATCTCGTCTGCTGGCTTGGCTACAGTCTAGAATATAACTAGTAAATATATAAATATAATTTTAACTTTTTTAAACTTATATATAACTATAAAAACTGTATTAATTAATCTTAATAATTTTATTAATATTAATATATTCTATTTATATATTCTAAACTCTATATATATAGTCCGTTATATTAAGAATAATATGTTTTTTATTAAAGTAGATAATTGTTACTGTTACTGATTTATTTACTAGTAGTAATTATTATTTCTGCCTAAATTATTACTTACGGTATTAATATCTATAGTCTATTATATTCTGTTTATAGCTATCTCGGTCCTCAGGGACTCTCTTCTTAATACAACTATCTTCTACTACTCGAATGACTTCATATCATTAAGAATTTTTAAAAAGATATATTTTAGAAGCTATTTATAAAAGACTAATATAAAAAATCTCTACTGTTTATAATAAAAACTATTTAGATTAATTTTTTATAAACGGGTTCTAAAGATCTTTTTTTAGTAATAACTAATTTTACTAATTCTTAATTATAAATTTAGAAGATTATATAATTTATAAATATAAGCTTTTAATACTGTAAAAAGTTCCAGCTTATTTAATAATTTAAATTAGGCTTAGTCTACTATCTTTTTTTTAATTATAAAATTTATTAAAATTTAACTTATCTTATAATTTACCGGATACTTAATTTTTATTAAATAATTAAAAGTTTTATTTAGTACTGTAATTATAATAATATTAATTATTTTTATTCTATTATAATTAAGTAAAAATAAATAAAATATTTTTTTAAACTTTTATATTTTTTTTTTCTTTTTATATTCTGTTTATCTGAGAACAGTAGGCCTACTGTTTATAAGATTTATAATATTTATAATAATTTTTTTAATTATTTAGATTACTTAATTAACCGATTAATAAAAAAGCAGATATTTAAAAAAAAAAAGATTCTTAAAAATTTATAAAATATATATTAAAAACTCTAAAAATATTATTATTATATTTATTAGACAGAAGGTTATATTTATATAATTATAATTATTTTAAATCTAATATTAAAGCTTAAGAAGTTTAAGAAGAATATCTGACTAAATAATAATACTAACTAATATTATAAATACTAAACTATTTTTAAGAAGATATTTTATTTTTATTATAGTTAGAATTTGATTATTAATATACTGTTAATTATTTTTAGATTACTGTTAGGCTTAGATAAAATCTTTTATAATATTTTTAAATACTAGAGATTTTTACCAGCAGCTGAAATATTTAAAAAACTTAAAATATATTTAAATATTAAAAATATATAGTTTATAAAGATATTTTTAATTAAATTAATATTATTTTAGATATTATAAAATATACTAATATTCTTATTTACTAAAAGTCTTATTATAATTAGTTTTTTATTTTTTATTAGATAGCTAAAAATTTTCTTTTAGTTATTACTAATAATATTAATATTAAATATTTATTTAATAGTTTTTAAGATATTTATTATTATTACTAGAGCTGTCTTTATACTAATATACTTAAAACAGTAATACTTTAGATATATATTAATTATTTTACTATTAATAAAAAGTATTAGAATATTTTTAATAATTTTAATCTAAATTTAATTATTTTTATATCTAAGAAGTAAGAGGAGAATAAAATAATTATTATTTTTTATATTAATAAAAATAAGAATATAAATAATCTTAAAAATAATCTAAAAAATAAATTATTATTAAAAATAAAAAAGCTAGCTTTATCTAAGTTTTTAAATATTATATATATTTAAATAGAAATAGAAATCTGATTTTCTTAATTTCTCTGCTATTATAATTACCGTTTTAAATAATATAAAAAATAGTATAATCTTATTAATTTATTTAATATTAAATATTATTTTTTCTATACTAGATTTTATAAAAATTTTTTTTAAAGTATAGTATACCCCTCAGCTTTATAGAAGAAGAGGTCGAGTAGATTAAATAAATTAAATAAATTAAATAAATTAAGTAGATTAAGTAAATTAAATAAATTAAACAGATTAAGTAAATAAGTCGGAAGAATTAAGACTATATTATAATATTAAATAAATAAGCTAAATCTAAAGAATATTATTATACTATAATTAAAAGTATATTATACTTTGTATATTATCTATATAAAAAAAATATATATATTATTAATTAATCTACAGTTATTAATCTATTTGTTATATCTGACTTTTCTAACCAGTAGATATAAATAGTTAAAATAATAATTATATCTTAATCTGACTATAATTATATAATTAAAATTTTTTTGTATCTTAATCTGACCGCCAGATTATAGTCAGGTTAAGGTTAAGATATAACGGTCAGGTTAATCTACTCTATCTTATATTAATATTATTAATAAATAATCATCAGCAGTTCCTCCAGCTGAATAAAAAACTAATTTTTTATTTTAATTTTTACAATTAGATTAGACTAAATAATTTTATATTAAAATTAAATTAGTTATATATCTAGACTTTCTTTAAATTACTTTATATAACTTAAATAAATAGTTAGTTCTAACAGCAGCTGCAGCTGACAGATACTTTATTAAAAAATATCTAATTTTAAATTATTATTATCTATTTAAATCTGGATTAATACAGCTCCGGAGTAAATCAGAAGCTAAACTATTTTATTTAATTTTATAATAAAAATTTTAAGTTATTCTATTAAAAAATACTAATTGGTTTCTATATTTAAAATTAATTAGTTTTTAGATTAGTAACTAACTTCTTTAGCTAATCGGGTAGCCAGCAGGACCCTATCCAAGTCCTACTTCAATTAATTTCTAGGTGCAAATTAATAACCCCTGTGGAATAGAATAAAAAAAGTCAACTGGGTTAAAAGAATAAAAGAGATCAACTAGATTAAAAAAATAAAAATAATAAACTGTTTTTATAGTATCTAATATTTTATAAAATAATTATTAGAAAGTATAGTTGCTGAGAAAAACTATATAAATAATATTATATAGATTTTTTTTTAAATTTAATTTATTATATAAATAAATCAGCTTTTTTAAATAAAAATAAGAATATAATAGACTATCTAAGCTAAAATAAAAGAAAGAATAATAAAATAAAAATAATATGTTTATTTTTAATAGCCTAATTATTAGTAAATATATAGTTTTTTTAATATTATATATTATAATTAAGATATACAGCTTAAACTAAGTTATAATTATATATTTTTATATATATTTCTTATTATAAGAACTATAATTTTATAAAAAGCTGAATTTTATTAATATTAATAGGATTCTCTGATTAATTCTTTAAGATAGAGATAAAAAAAATACTAATACTTTTTTTAATTATTTTTTTTTATTTAAAAAGCTTGTTTTTATATATTTTTAGATAATAATTAAGATAGTCAGATTAATAACTGCTTAATCTAAATATATTTTAACTATATTAGAATCTGAATAGATATAATAGATAGATCTTAATATTAAAAATAGTTAAGATAATTAACTATTTTTTTTAGCTATACCGCGGTTAGATATAAAAGTTTTCTTAACCTAGCTATAATCTGGCGGACAGGTATAAAAATTCTAATTAATCTAACCTGATCTGGCTGTTAGCCACTCTAGCTGGGGATCTGAGTATGCTGAGCACTGGTACAAGAGCATTAGTAGATATTAGAGTGGATTAACCTGACCTTTATATCTTAATCTTAATCTGGCCATAACCTGGCGGTCAGATTAAAATATAAAATCAGATTAATTGTTAGATAGAATAGTTAACCGCGGTTAACTATTATATCTAGACTAGTTCTAAAAAAACTAGTTTAGACAGAAATCAGACAGAAATAGATTAAAATCAGACTAAAATCAGACAGCTATATTCTGCTCTTTTTTACTATCTTCTAAAATAGGCTTAGTTGCTAAAAAATTAGACCCGCCGGTTAACCGCAGGTTTAAACCGGTTAGAAATATATATATTTTTATACCTGACCATAACCTGCGGTCAGGTATAAAAATTTCAATTAACCTGACCTGACCTGGCCGTTAGCCACTCTAGTAGATATACGTGACTGTCTAGTCTGACAGTAGATGGACTGATTACAGTTGGACAGATGACTCGGAGGCGGACGGGAGGGGTAGAGAGTTGATTTGTCAGCCGACATGTTTCATCTTGTCAGAGTTATGGGCTGGTCTCGGAGCAAAATGAATCGCCTCAGACTCCCTGCGCTACGAGATTGAAGTCACAAAGGCGTGAGTGGTTGATGATGGATAACGCCATAACGGAACACACGGAACACACGTCTCCTCAGAGGAAGAAAGCGACACCGGCATGCGAAAAATGCCGTGTCCTCAAGGTGAAATGTGTTCAATCCGGAGAGGGACAGCCTTGTACTAAGTGCGCGTCACCCCTTTATCTGGGTATCGTTTTCATCGATCTCCAACTGATCTCAGTAGATGTGCCAGATCAAACTCTCAATGTGTTTTTCCAGCGCCCAGACAGCGACCTCGAGTTTTACAACGAGCGAAACCGTGAGTCTCCCTGGAGATAAATCCACTCAACAGGTCAGTTAGACTAATTGGGTGGGAATGAAGGCGTCTGATTGATCTTGAATCCAAACTCACCAATATCATCGGGCTGCTTTCGCGGTCGAAGGGTCCCGTGGCCGAAATGCCATCCCCGCTTGATGAGAATTCCGGACCGCCTGCCATGCCCGAATATCCCGATGACAGGCCGGGCCAAACAGTCGAGTGGATGAGCGAAGCCTTTCTTCCTGATTCTGCAATGACTGCCGGCCCGAAGTCAAGCGAGGACCAGAATGCCCTAGAATCTCCGCGGGACGCACCCACTGCCATAGACACCGCGTGGATCACCAACACAGGACTCAACCCCGTCGTCCTCGAGCATCTGCTGGACAGATTCCGCGGCATGGCGTCCTATTTTCCATTCGTGCAGCTTCCATGCGCCTGTACTGCTGCATCAATGGCTGAAAGTCGCCCGTTCCTGTTGCTTGCCGCTGTTGGTGTCGCCTCGTCGGATTACTGTCATCTCCAACACGCTCTCATCGGACAATTCAAGCGATCCCTGAGCGAGCGGGCTATCCTAGCTGGCGAGAAGAATCTAGACCTGCTGCAGGGATTACTTGTCCATCTTGCCTGGTAGGATGTTGGTCCCAGCAGTACCTTCTCTTCTTTGTCGTCCGTGAGGGGCATTAACAGGCTGACTCCCGTCAGGTTCCATTTCTCCTTTATCCCAGGAAGCCAGCAAGCATACCAGTACCTGCAAATTGCAATCAGCATGGTCATCGATCTGCGACTCGATCAAGAGACTGCCGACGTGGTTGAGCAACGAAATGAACTCACCGATGTCTATGCTCGGGATGCATGCCGTGCTTATCTGGGCTGCTATTACATGTCGAGCATGTGAGAAGCCATGATCCACCGCGATAGACCTTCATAGGCTTAGGCTTACTTTGGTAGAATAGCAATGTCCTCGGGAAAGCCCAACAATCTCCGATTCCACAAGGACATGCTCCGATGCGCGAAGATGCTGCACCAGGAACCAGAACCGGAATTTGAGACTGACCACTTGATATATCCGATAACACAGGTATTACAGTTTAATGAGGACGTGTGTGAGACTCATCGGTCAGAAGGAATCTATAGCCCCCGCTTGTACATCTATGCTGAACGATTCACAACGCGGCTAGAAGAATGGTGGTCGTCTCTCTCAACGGAAGTTCGCAACAACGGTATGAAGTTCTCAGGATCTTGTGGCTACCAGTTTGGCTGACCTGGGATCTGCAGTGTTGCTGATTGACCGCTATTATGCCGTCAAGATTCGCATTGAAGAGATGGGCTTGGTATATTGCTACGGGCAGAGAAGACCGCCGTCTCGAATGGCACAGAGAGAGTTGACCATCTTGTCTGCACATCCAATGGTCATCAGTCACTTGACTGATTGTGTGAGTTCCGCCAAAGACTATCTCGATATCTTTTGCGCCCTTCCGGCTGCGGCGCAACGTCGCTTGCCATTTTCTACCTGGTATCAGGTTGTTCTGGCGGTCTTTGTGCTCTACAGGCTGTCCGTGGGACTGCCCGAAGTACCGCAGTGGAACGTTGACATCGCACGGGAAACGGTGGATCTACAAGAATACACCGATCAACTTCTGTCTCATCTGCAGGGTATCGCGCCTTTGTCGGACCGACAGATACCCACCACGAGTCTCTTTTCGAGGATGCCCGAGATCATGCAAAGTGTAAGAACTTCTTACGCGTTGGCGAAGGAGAATGGCGCACCAGTTCGGGACAGCCGCCATGCGCACCACGACCTCGCGTCTGTGAATCGCACAGCCTCCTCTACTCCAAGGTTGCACCGCTGCCCGGCCGTGCGGTATTCTAGCCGTTCCGTCGCCCCGGAGCTTGATCTACCTACACTGCAGAGCGCGATTGCTACGGAAGTCCGGAGCATCGAAGATGAGAAGCTATGGGGCGATCTATTCCTGATGGATACACTTTCTAGCATGACAGGTTCATCCTCGATCGGATTGTGACAGGTGATCCATGCTCCAGACGTCCAGTCTGCACGGCTTCGGTTCAGCATCGCACCACCTCAGACCTCATCGGGGAAGACATGGGTGGAGATCTTGTTTCCAGTCGAGTCGTATCGCTGCGGTAGGACGTTGAAGAGTCCGTCCACATCGCGTGGTTCGAAATCCAGCGACAATGCCGCCTGAGTGAGCAGGTCCAGCCCATAAGTCTCTCTGATCCAGTGGGCGACCATGTCCATTCCCGCCACCGCTCCGCTCCCTGTCCAAATGTTGCCGTCCACAATCCACTTCTTCTCCTTAGTCCACTTGACCTTCGGGTATCGCTTCTTAATCCAGTTGTATTCGAGGTTGTTGACGGTGGCCCTGCGGCCGTCTAGAGCGCCGGTGGCGGCCACCACCGCGGCTCCGGTGCACGTCGTAAACAGTAACTTTCCCGAGGCCGCATGGCGGCGAATGAGGGCCTGTAGTTTGGGCGCAAGCTGCGATTTGGCGGGGATATCCCCCCCGACGATGAGGATATCCAATTCGGGGACCTCGTCCACCGTCACCGTAGGCATGACGGTTATGGCGCTGGTCAGCAGGTGCACCGGCTCCATGGTCGCGCCGATATGGTGGAAGACAAACTCGGGCGCCTTGGCCAGAAGGTCTGGGTCGACCGGGGCGTAGTGATTGATACCGTTCAGAAGCATCTTACTCGCCGAATTGAGCAGATCGCATGGGCCGATGACGTCGATCGTCTGGTAATCGAAGAGTGGGCAGCCGACGTGGATGGGGGCCATTATGGTAGGAGTCCTGTTGATCTAGTGTGGTCTTGAAGGATGAGTATCAAACGAGTCCCCAATAGATATCAATTAGTATGCAATCAAGCTGTTGCCCTCCAATAACAATAACAATCCCGTGGGCCATGTTTCCCCGTGCTTAAATACTGCCGAAACACTGCCAGGTTCCGATGCCGGCATCGCGGAGCGGGCAGTTCCAACCGTTCCGTCCGCCGCGGTCGGCCTTCTTGGCACGGGCAACGGGGGAACTTGATCGACCGTGCCCGCGAGGAGTTACACGAGAAAACGGAGATCATTGTCTGAGGTCAAGAATTAATTTAATGCTATAGCAAATAATGTATTGGTGATTAAATTATGATATGAGGGTGTGTGGGCTGGTGCAGTCCAGCCCTGGTGCATCAGGGCCTCATCCTGTCTGCCCGAGATCCGCGGCCACTGCTGCTTTCAGCAAGAGCTCCAACTGCACCAATTTGGTCTCGGTGTTGAGATATTCCTCCAGAATGGTTTGCAAGTCCATCCGTTCGTCACTGCCCCCGATCGCCGGGCGTAGCCGCTTGCTGCCACGCCGAAAGTCGTGGTCCCAGTTGGGAATCTTGCGGTCGACTTCCGAATGCCACCAGGCCACGTGACAGGTAGAATTGAAGTCACTTTCATCAACAAACGTATCCATTCCCTCGTACGTAAAGAGGTCAAGCTTGACCCCCCTCAACTCTCCGGTCGGCTTCAGTTGCCGATACAGCTGGACTTGTCTGGTGTCAGGCCGCAGGATGTATCCGTACAGCTCGTCCAAGTCCGGGCGCCATTTCCGGAGGGTGGTGAAGGCACGTACAAGGGCGCGCTGACACTCGGCCTTCCAGTGATCCTCGGTCACCGAGCGGGGCTCGTCGGGGGTGATCCGCCATTTCACTTCAGTCATGAATCCCCCCCGGGTGAGCGCGCTCACCAGGGTATAACAGTGTGCCTTCCAGGCATCCCCGTCGTCCGACCCCTTTGCTGTCTCAAGGGGCTCGACGCCACTCTCGGTGGCATCGACAGTAATGGGAAGAAGTCGAAATCTGCCCATGATGTTGGTCAAATAACTGTGGCACGTGTAGCTAATGTTGCTGGCTTTGTTTCTGGGACGTATTGTCAGGGGTGTGGTTCATTGGATGGGCTCCAGTCGGGGAACGGTATACATATTTATAGCCCAGCAATCGTGAGGACTTTACTGGTCCACTCACTCGGGAACGAGTGAATGCGTTCATTATAGCCTACGGCAACCATTGTTCTGGCGGAGAGCAAGAACTGGAGATTTTACTTACGTTGTGTTGTCGTACCCTTGTCATCCGTCGCCGAGGGAAGTTGTTGAAAGAGAATGCTTATCAAATCTCCTCGTGGGGCTATGCTAGTGGATCATGAACAAAGGTCCGAACAAGGACTTTGTGTTTGCTATCTCTGCCACGACCTGTTGCCCCTTGCGATCAACTATACATATACCCCTGGTTGTAGCCGGTGAAAGCTAGTAGTAGCATCTCAACATATTGATCTAAACACAACGACTACACGAAAGATGGGAAAGACGGCAACGAATACTCAAGAAAGCGCACTTCATATCCTGCCAGAGGAATCTGCGCCAAATGCCCTGCCTAGTAGCTATAGTGTGGATGATGATGGCTGGTGCACGATTACGAGCAATGCGGAAGGTAACAAGGCAGGGTTTGATTTTGATTATCGTGTTGATGGCGATATCTCGAAATGCATGATGGTACTCGATGACGGACCATGTGGCCGGACGTTTTCCTCTCTGGGTGATCTGAACATTCACCAACACGGACATCTGACTGCAATAATGGGCAACCCGAAAGCGGAAGATAAACAGACAAGACCCAATGAGCTTCCTCTGAGCTATCGTTTGGATGATCATGGTTGGAGATGCATGATCGAGGTCCATGGCGGACCATGTGGCCGAGTATATTCAGCCCTGTATCATTTGGAACGCCGCCATCGCCGAGAACATGAATATGAATGCTACTTCAGCCCCAACTGCCCACAAGATGCTCTCTAGTCGGGACGCCGTCAGACGGCATATGAAAAATGCCTGCCGCTCGACACCGCGTGACTTGATGCATTTGCAGACGCAAAAGACACATAACGCATGAGATCAGAGGAAACAAGGTTTGTGAATATGGTATCATCTTGCCTAGAAAGCTAATTACACGGCCATGGCTCTCAAGCAGTCGAAAAGTGCTCCCTCAACGCGCTGAGAGAAGGAGTAAAGAAATACTCACCGCCCCTTTGGTCCACCCAGGGGCTAATACCCAGATTCAATTTCACCGTCTTGTCGGGGTTTTCTCCATCATACAGACTGATGTGGCCCTCGGGATGATCCTTGCGAAGCCTCTGGTTGACAAAGGGGTCCATGCCCGGCCCGTCGGGGAAGGTCTTGGTCTTGTACTCGGGGAAGGAGGCGTTGCTCGCCCAGCCTGGCTCGTGTCAGTATTCTGTAGTTCCATCGTAGCCCTAATGTCAACCAACGTACGAGTCATAAGGAAATTGAATCCATCCCGGATCAGGCTCTGATAGCAGGTAAAGTAAATGCCCCGGTGCTCAATGGTCTTTCGCAGCCGCTTCTCCTCTTCAGTCAGTTCCGGACCAAAGGTAATGCCTCGTCGAAGAATGACGCTGGCATCCTCTTCTTGTCCCTCGGCCTCTTCTTCATCGCTGTCGGGCTCGGGCAGTGCGGTCTCGTCCCCGTCTTCTTCGGTCCCCACGTCGCGTTTCTTATCGGATCGAGGGCGCATCTTGCGGATGTGCGCTGCAAATGGACAGCTCTTGATGCTCTTCTTAGGTCGGAAGTCGAACGTGTTGTTGAAGGCCAACCCCGGCTTATCCTCGTCGTAAGCGTGCACCACGGGAGCGCCTATGCCTGATCAGTCTGCATTCGTCAAGAGAATAGGAATCGAAATTCGCCGGGTTCGTACCACTCTTCCAGCGACCCATCAAGTGAGCTCCCAGCTTGGCCGGACCATTCGGCCCTGCGTAGTTGGTGCCCGGGATCTGAGAAGCCTTCTCCTCGAGGAACTTCTCAAACTCGGGGACCTTCTGGTCCAACTGCCGGAAGACCAGAAAACTGCCCTCCTTGGCCCAGGCCGGGCCTCGCTTCTTGTTGGGATCTCCCTCAAACCCGAGGAAGATGTATCCCGGAGGACAGGCATGAGGCTCCCCCGGGGCAGGGGCCGGGTCCAGCCCTCGGATCTTAGGCTGCGAGATGTGGTCTTCGTAGCCAAAGCTGCAAACAGGAGGTACGTTAGTCTCCGATGGTCATGTAATTGAGTTTTCTCCAGAGCACACGTACTGTTCCTTGCCCCGGTTTGCCCCCGGTCGGGTTTGACCATCGCGTCGAAAGGCGATCTTCATACTGTTCTCATTTGCATCACCCACGTAGAAGGCATCCTCGACGTCCACGATCTTCCGGCGGAGAGCCTTGGCACTGTGCGCCGCCACAATGAAGACGCCATCGACGCGCCAGTCCCACCGTTGCAGAGGATCTTCCTTGGCCAGATTAGCCTCCGGGGCTCGGAAGTCCGGATGCAACGCGGGGGGGCTATCGGCGCCCTCGTAGACCAGGTCATCGAACATGCCCTTTTCGAAAAGACCCTCATTGATCCGGTCCCGGCAATACTCGTCGGGGTCTTCCTGTTGGACCTTGACAAACTCGACCTCCACCTCGGGCCTTTCGACCTAGAACACGAAAACCGGGCGTTAGAGTCCGGAAGAAAAGAACAGAGAGCGACGGGGGGCGTAGAGGCCATCAACCAACCTTCAGCAGACCCAGATGGGTGAAGGCCACATTCACCGCGGTGAAGGGCACCCGATAGGGCTCGGGAACATCGCGTCGGGCTTGCGCGGATGCCTCTTCGAACTCTCCCACTCCCCGAAGGTGGTCCGCGCATTGCGTGCCGGTGGTGATTTCATTGTTGTCCAGCAGGGTCCGCAGGTGTTTGCGGAACTTGCCCTTGTCGGTGATTTTGAAAAACAAGTAGGATTCAAAGTGCTTGGGCAGCCGGGGCCAGATGCTCCCCTGGATGTTGTCAGTGTTGACCTTCTCTGGGGCACGCATATTGATGATGGTCTGTCTCTGAGTAGTTGGGATGAGGAGCAGACCCGCCCAGAAGAACCTTTTATGTCTGCCGCTCTAGCTGGCAAGAGACCACAGCCCTGAACTCTTGGTTACGTCGATCGCAGCTGAGCTGATAGTGCACATCCGGTGGCTCTGATGGTGACCTCTCATAACCCCTCCATTGGCAATGCAGTCATCGTCATACCCCTCAGCTGAAAAAAAGATGCGCCATAATCAAGTGAACGATGATTTGTAGATGGCAGAGTATTCTGCAGCCCCGAGCCCCACAGGCAGAACTGATCTATCGAAGTGGTAGACGTCGATCCCTCCACTTCGCTGCGGTGACGAACTGTCGATCGCGTCGCTTGGACGCCGACTGCGTCATTTGTTGAGCGGAGCTGAACTGTGGGGCTGGTTGAGGGTGAGATCGTCTGCTGCTGCATGCGATGATGCTGGTTGACAAATGTGTCAAGTCAATGGACGGTTCTTGCCTTGCCTACTACTCCCAATGCACTACCAACCGGGTACTATACGAAGACTACTAACTTACTGTACGTACATGTCTACATACTCAAGTACATATAGTACATCCTCAACCATGGCCCGGCCTGATGGACCGAACCGCCCGCTCGGGCAGGCTTGGCAAGATCCACTTCCTCAACCAAGGCAGATCCAGGCAGGTTTGCCGAATGCCTGCCGAATGCCTGCAACTACACCTTCCGGGGCATTTCTCAGCACAGCTGGAACACCGTCTCGATCCGGCTATCGACTTGGCGCTCACAACCGGAAATCATCTCCAACCAGCGTCACATCACAGTCGATCTCTGCCTCGACCTGCCTCGACTGCCTCGAAATGGCCTCGGTGGCGAGCTGAACCCCCACTGGCACTGCTGGAACCACTGACAAGAACAGCCACTGACCGCAATCCCGCCATTCTGGCTAAATCTATAAGTGGTTCTCGACCGAGTATATATTTATAACACGGTCTTCTCCTCTGCAGTTTCCCCAAGTCCACCATATCATTCATTCCATCTTTTTGAGTCAACATGAAGTTCCGGTTGGCGGCGGGCCTCCTTCTTGGGGCAGTCGCCGTCGATGCCTTCATGCCCCCTGAATATGCCTATGAGTCCTCCCAGGCGGACGAGATTGAAATTGCCAAGCAGTCCACGGGAATTGTCAAGTATCAATCGCCGCCGGCGGACTCATACCTCATCCCCAAGACCAATTCCGATGATGCCTCCCAGAACTGGGAGGTGAAGTGTTCCAGCCAGAACAAGGCCCACAACTGCGAGTATGCCATCGACGACCGCACCGACCGCTACTGGAGCAGCAGTCCCGACGAGCAAGAGCCCTCCTGGATCCGCATTGACCTGCGGAAGGAGCATTATGTCTCGGGCGTGACCATGCTGCCTCGCCTGGAGGCCGAAGAGGGCCAGATTGGGGAGCACCGCATCCTGCTGTCGCCCGATGGAAACAACTGGACCGAGGTCGCCTACGGCACCTGGGGGTCCAACAAGAGCCCCAAGATGTCCGCCTTTATCCCGACCCCCGCTCGCTTTGTCAAACTGGTGGCGGAGACCGAGTCCCACCCCCGCAGTCAGACGAGAAACGGGCAGGTCTCCATCTCCAACATGGCCGTCTACGCCTATATCGAGGGCACGTTCCCCGAGGCCGACCCCAGCACGGGTGGTGTCTGGGGTCCCACGCTGGATCTTCCCATTGTCCCCGTCTCGTCCGCCGTCGAGCAGCATGGGAATATCATCATGTGGTCAGCCTGGGCCGACGATCAGTTCTTCGCCTCCCCCGGGGGCAAGACGCTGACCACCACCATGAACCGCAGCGGCATCATCACGCAGAGTGAAGTCTTCGAGACCAAGCACGATATGTTCTGCCCCGGCACCTCGATGGACCTCGATGGCAACATCGTGGTCAGCGGAGGCGCCGACTCGGGTCGCACCAGCGTGTACAATGGCACCGCCTGGAACAAGGGCCCCGCCATGCAGACCCCCCGTGGCTACCAGTCGTCCACCACCCTGTCCGACGGTCGCATCTTCGTGATCGGAGGGTCCTGGAGTGGCGGCGACAAGGTCGAGAAGAACGGCGAGGTCTACTACCCCGGACCCAACGCGCACTGGGAGACGCGCAGCAACGCCAAGGTCGAGCCCATGATGACCGATGATCGTCTGGGAGCCTGGCGTGCCGACAACCACGGCTGGCTGTTTGGCTGGAAGAAGGCCAGCGTTTTCCAAGCGGGGCCCAGCAAGATGATGCACTGGTACAACGTGGACGACACGGATCGCAAGGGCCGCGTCCGGGGCTCGTGGGAAGAGGCCGGGGAGCGTGGCCAGGACCACGACTCCATGTCGGGCAGCGCCGTCATGTACGATGCGACGCGAGGAAAGATCCTGACCTTCGGCGGTCAACGTCACTATGACGGCTCCAACGGCTCCAAGAACGCTCACCTCATCACCCTAGGCGATGCTTACAAGGACCCGGAGGTGGTGGTCGCGGGCAAGGGTCCCAAGGGAGACGGCGAAGGGGGCATGCACTACAAACGTGTCTTCCACACCTCGGTGGTCTTGCCCGATGGCACCGTCTTCATTGCCGGAGGGCAGAGCTGGGGCAAGCCCTTCCACGAGGGCGACATCAACTTCACCCCGGAGCTCTACGACCCTGCCACCGACACCTTCCACGAGTTGACCCGCAACAACATCAAGCGCGTCTATCACAGTATCTCCATGCTGCTGCCCGACGCGACGGTTCTGAACGGCGGCGGTGGGCTGTGTGGTAACTGCACGGCCAACCACTACGACGCCGAGATCTACTCGCCTCCCTACCTGTTCGACGAGAACGGCAACCCAGCTCGTCGGCCGCAGATCACCAGCATCTCCGACGGACAACGCGTCACCGTCGGCGAACAGATCCGATTCAAGACCGACGACTTCATTGAGACGGCCTCCCTGGTTCGTGTCGGAACCACCACCCACACGGTCAACACCGACCAGCGTCGCATTCCTCTCGACACCCTCAAGCGTGTGGGTCATCTGCAATACAGCGCTCGTCTTCCCGCGGATCCTGGTGTCATCCTGCCGGGATGGTACATGCTGTTTGCCATGGATGCCAAGGGCACTCCCAGCGTGGCCAAGATGGTCAAGGTTGAGCTGCCCTCGCCTCCCGAGTATGTGTCCAACTTGGAGGATTCGGAGGCGGAGGAACAGCACGTCAGCCACGGTCATGTCGGAGTAACGGCGGACTGCGACGAGGATAACGAGGTGATGGGCGTCATTGCCATCATGTTCGCTTCGGCCAGCAAGTTCTGGAAGAACTGGAAGGGTGCGCTCGTCTCGCAGGCTTAGCTAGTAAATTTTCATGGTTTCTTCAGTTAGTAAGGTTGTGTTGTATAATGAAAGCTTCATTTTGTTTATATTAGCCTTTGATGTAGATTCTCGTGCGGGTATCTCTAACGGGCCACCGTGAGAACGACGGAAATGCGGGTCACCTGGACGCCATCTACAGAGGCATCAGTAATTGACTCGAAATAGCAGCATATGCTCCAGCCGATGGTGCATCCGGAGGGTGCGCTCACTGAAGAACCGCCGCCTACAAACGACTCCCCCAGTTTCATACATGCAAATCCACACGCCAGTAGTCTCCTGATGATAGCAATAGTCGTGACGATGCGCCGGACCGTGGTGGACGGCTTCGAGGGGATCACTGGGATGACTGCCGATTTTCCACCCCGAGCCACAAGCGGGACATCCGAAGGCGAGGGCCTGCTCTGCCATCAACCGACCAATGCACTGGGTGTGCCAGGTGCGTTGGCAGCTCCGTCGCCAGCACTGCCAGAATCGCGCCCGCGGATTTGCGTGGTGGTGAGCCCGACATAGTCCGCAGGTGACCAAGGGGTAAGCTTCATCCTCTAGCGACACCATCACCACCGGCTTCTCCCGCTCTCTGCGTTGTTCAGGAGAAAGAGAAGTCAGGTGGAGAAGCCTAGGATGAACAGTGAAAGACATCTTTGTGGATGTGAGGGAGATGGGAGAACAATGCCATGTTTGTCTTGGAACAAAGCAGTGGATTTATATCTTTCACGCGGCCGGGGATCCGCGGGCTACAAACAAAGAGGGAGGCCATTGTTCGACCACACCACGTCTGGCAGAGTCCTGACATAGACTAGAGGGATCCCTTGTCTTTCTGTCTGGGAAGCAGGTCGTTTGCCTGATCGATCGACGCATGATTCTTAGTCCATCCTGGTTCTTTGACGGTCCTTTCAGGACGTTTCTTTAAGACCCTGTTTGTAAAAGCTTTCAACGGATCAAACACAAGGCAATACTTAGAGCTTTGTATAGTCAATAACAGGTGTCCCAGGGGTCCCATGGATGGGTATAAAATCCTGGCGAATATCCCGTTTGAATCAACTGTCTTCACACTCTGGGCTCTCAATTCACCTTCAAAACAGCGCCCTCAAACACAGAACCAACACGTTCAACGACACAACCACTATGATGTCTTCTCAACCTGGCTTCCATATCAACCGGCTTCATCGCTCCAGGGATTCGAAACCTGATTTTGATCAGACAGAATGGGGCGTGGCTGACTGTCGTGGCGGCCGGTATCACGCAGATGCTCGAATCATTCTGCTCGTTCTCAACCCTCGGACAGTTGGCGGCAACTGGAAGCTCATCGGCGAGCGTCTCGCCAGGCTTGCGATTAAGAGGAAGCGTCAGAAATGCAGTGCCGAGAAGTGCTATACTGGACCATATGGGGTGGTTGTCGAGTGTGAAGACCAAGACTCCCAGTTCTACATCGAGACCTCGGACTCAGCCGAGGCCGATGCGCCTACCTTGACTCGTTGGATCTGGGACGATCCTCCTACGTAACCTAGCCCTTTGCCAGGGTTCTACTACCCTTTCATTCGCAGGATGTACTCGGATAACCAGGGTTACCCTAGAGCATGAGTTGGTGAGACGGGCCGGGATGCAGATCTTCGATATTTACTGCTTCGAGCTTACCCACAAGCCCTTCTTAGGATTCGAGGTCTTCTACAAGGATCACTGTGGAGTCGAGAGCCTTGTAGGGGAATCTGGTACCCCTTAGTTAGAATATCCACTACCTAATTTCAATGATACTGAACCTTTGATGCATGTTCTTATCTTTGCAAACAGCTTTGCTTTGTAATCTTTAAAATCCATTTGTCCAGATCACATTTAGTACACTCTGGACTCTGCTGCTTTGTGTGTGCAGTTCAACCCTACTGTCCAGTGTTTACCAACCCTACCTACTTGCCACCTTCATATCCATTTCCATCCTCGATAGAACCTCCTCTTGAGACTTGATATTCTTCCTCTTCCCATTTGGATTTGAGCTCTGAGGCTCTTGTAAGACGAAGCATATCACCCCTGCAAATCTTCGTAGGACGTATGATGTTGCCGTGGGTCTGTACAATCAATCCTCGCCAAACTTCTCAAGAACCTGCCCCAAGCTCGAGACACATTGACTCGGTCCAGGATTTATATCCGGTGCACTGACTAGATCAAACTACCTCCAGCCCATGCCAAACCACAAACCCCCTCAAGGAGCATTATCTTCGAGTCACACGTCTTGTCTGACCCGCGGGAAAGCATTCTTTGTGCACGTACATTCTTGTCAGTACTATCGAAAGTAGGTATGGCAAAAAGAGATAAGCTGATGAGCTTCTTTGTACAAGTTCATTGTTGGGAGGACCTTTCAAACCGAAGCTCAGCTCTATTGTTCAGTGTCATTGTGCCTGCACCTTTCATTCATCCAATCATTGTCATCTTTGGTTGTCTTGCTCCTTTATACCACCTTTTGATACATGGTCAATGAATGATGTTGGCAGGAATCCGAGACTAACTTTGTGAATGACCATTTTCTTTAAGTATCTCATGTACCTCCCTTTATAAGATGGCCTGAGAGGCGATCTACCACAAAGTAAGTATAATTGCATCACAGACCATCTACGTGCAGTCTACATATGTTCTAATCTTTCAAGTCCACCATCATAAGCCTCGACTGCTGGGTATGAGTACTACAACCATCCTCGTGCTGGACACAATTAGCTTCAGGCCATCAAGCCATTAAGCCATGAAGCCATCTCTACAACATCACCCTAGAGTAAAGTCTAGAATCAACCCTCATCAAAACACCACAGCCATAATGGGTAAACTCAAAAACCAGGCCTTGACCCAATCTAAAGATATACCATACGGGGTGCCCAATTTCGATCCAACGCAATGCGGGTTGGTCCAATACACCTTCGGTCGGATTATCGTCATCCGCCTAAACCCCAAGCGTGTGGGCAAGACTGGGGGATGATCGGCCAGAAGGTCACCTCTGCTGCTTGGCAAAAGAAGCGTGAACGAGCCACCATCGACGCAAATCGGACTGGCCGGCTGAGGTCATCTGCGGAGGCTACTTATCTGGGGCCTTATGGAGCGATGGTCCGGTGTGATAACCAGCTCGGCTTCTATTTCGGGGCCCAGGCGACTTGGCCCTGACTCCTTTCCCTTTGAAAGGCACTGGTGGCTCTGTCTTTCACCGGTTCCCCGATTGTGGCCCTTACGAGCATAAACCGCCTTTCTCCGGAAGATGTATGCCACCGATGCCACCGATAATTGTGCGCAATGTGCGCCCGTGTCAGAGTTGGACCTTGAATCACGGTTGATGATGCAAATCGTCGCATCTGACGACCTGGTAGGGTGCAAGCCCTTTGATAGTGACTGGCTGGTGGTCTACAAGAGACAGGATGGAACAATCCGCCTGACCTCAAAAAACCATCCTTGAAAACCTAGTTGCCCTGACTTGCAGTTGATTAGTCCTTTGATCTAATATCATTCAATCTTCTGATCTTTGTTCCACGCCGTTATTCTCCGAAGATGACCGTAGCTGGCCTTCCTCTTTCTGGTGTTTTTCTTCTATTATTGTTCAATTCGGGTATTTTCAATTCGTTCCTGGGGAGAACGAGGACGCGCTCCAAGATTCCATTCTCCTCTGGTGGGACGTAAAAAAATTCTCTCACTTGCCTCCCGAGCTGACCCATAACAAAGAACGAGAGCTTCAAGGTCTCTTATCTCTCTGATCTCGAACTGGTGCACCCTGGCGCTTGGCTATAAATACTAACCCTACCCCTCGGTTAGGCCATCATCTACTCCAGAGGAACAAGCCCTTCCCTTCATAGAACTTTGAGAGCTAGACTTTGATCCCAGATCTACGAAAAAGGATTTGATACATCCAGACACACGTGGAAATGCCTCAAATAAGTGATACTCAACTTGGGGTAGCCAGCGTAGGGCTGGCGACGGATCGCATGGTACTCATCTCTCTCAAACCTGAGACTTGTGGCGAGGATTGGGAGGCAGTCGCCCAGGAACTGACCCGTGCAGCGTGGAAAAAGAAGCGTGAGGAGCCATTGGCGCCCTCTGAGCCGTACGGTGCGAAGGTTTTCTGGGGAAATCATAAAGTCGGGTTCTACTACGAAACCCCGCTGGATCATCATCCCGAAGAAGATGTCCCCAGTGGCTCCGGCGCTTTTGCCCTAGCCTCCTTCGTCCTCCCTAATAGTCATGTCTACTATGACCAGAGCGACCCTGATGACTTGTTTCATGAGAAGCTGTTTCTCGGCAGATTGATGGTGGGCCAGGCTGACAATCAAATCGTGGATGCGCAGCAGAGCTTGTGGTCCCAATTGCTAATGCTCGAGGAGTGGCTCCAAGAGGACTGCGAGAGCTTTCCCAACTCTATCCTGGTGTTCGAAGCTTAGCTAGACTCAGGACGGACTTACTTGGGCCGGTTCAGCAATGAACATCGCGATTTTTTAAACAATTCACTTATCTTTCCCATTGTCGATCCGATCCCAGACATTCCAATTTCTCTTGTCTTCTCTTTCCTTCAGCGACATACTCCAGGATCTCTTCCGCCTCCGGGGACGGAGCTCCTCTCCAAGTCTGTCCCGGTTGCTCCGTCGGTCCTCCGCCTCTTTCTTCTACTTATACTGTTCCTCACATCCTTGGTGACGATTAAGACTTGTTCACTGGACACCCTGCCTCTCAGAGACCCGCTGAAGAACCCTGTCAGACTTTGCTTGGATGCCCCACGGGATAAGCACTAAAAGGTCCGCTTTGAGAAGAGATCATCGAGTTCAATTCAGTTAAAACTAAAGACTAGTATGAAAAGGTTGAACCGACTATTTCCTAATCAGGACTGCTTGTATTCTTCAAAGCGAATGGCAGCCCTCTTCAATCTTCGGTTGGAACAATCACACCCCCACTTCTGCCTCTTCACTGCCATTCAGCTAAGCGACTCGCCTTCAATCATGACTAGGGCAGGAACAGCAATGGGATAGGTCCTGGTTCAAGCAATGTTGCAGGATGTTCGGAGCCAGGATACAGAGACTTTAGGCTGTGAACCACTGTCAACATGCGAGTTTTCGAAAGAAGATGGCCCAAGCGGAACGGCTTCCAGTATTGTCCCAACATGCGTCTGAAGATACCCATGCCCCTTGCTTCGAATATTCAGCACGGCGCCCAAGAAAGGCAAAGGCGTGGACGTAAACGGCGATCCAACCGGCCATTCCGTTCTTGCTTGCGGGGTGACAAAGCCCTCAACACTCACTTCCTTAGCTGGCACATTCCGAGACCGTTCGGTCACTAGCCCCAAGAAAGCACGGAACGTTTTGTATGCCAGGTAGGACTCGAAATACAAATTTCCGGCGAAAAATGCCAAATCTTGTAATGTATCCGTATGGCTTCGATGGCTGACAAACCGGGCACCTATGGTAAGAAGGTCCAGTCCTTCAAAGGCTCGCATTGTCTTCGACCGCCGGGGGGCGTAGAGGTGTAATTTTGTCTTCCAAGAACGACGGATGTCGTCCAAAAGCTCATTTGCTTCATACTGACTCAAGATGAGCAAGTTCGAGTTGTGTGCATTTGACAGAATCCAGTGCGCAGGTTTGAGGAAATTCTCATCAACGTTGTTGGCGACGTGTGTGACGGTACGAATATGATCCTTGGTTGCATAGAGTAATGGGCATAAACCTTCAGGAAACTTGAACCGTCCGGCTGAAGTATGGTGGAAGATGCGGAATGCGGGCTCGACCTCGGACATACGACCGCTGGGGAAGGCTCCATGGGTGACGAAGTACCGTATGTCGGGATGGACATAATGACACGCGGGTGGTACTTTGGGAGGACGAAAGACCTGCTGTTCTCGTTGAACCTCATGGCCAATCTCTCGTTCCTGCTCCTCATGTAGCAGGGCTTTCCGTTGGTCCTCGCTGACGCGCAACAGTAGGCTCTGGACCATAGGGTCAGATTTATCAAGATAGTCTACCAGACTATTGTGTCTTGGTGTGCACCAAGAAGCGTATAGTTCCGACAGACTTTGGGCCTCGGGCTCTTGAATGACCTGAATCATTTCGTGCAACGTCCGGCCTTCCGATGAAAGTCTGTCCCAAGCGGAGACGCGCGCATGATATTGTAGACCTTGTGAAGCCCACAAGGGACCCAGAGTATCCAATGCATCAGCTGTCTGGTTGAGGGCCCATTGGATCACATCCACCGACTTGACTGAGTTTCCTGCTGCGCCTACAGTATGACTGACCTCCGGGGGTATGATGAACACCACCGACTGTCCATTCCCCAATTTGCGCATCCGGTTACATGCTATGTGTCCCACAAGTCAGCTAAGTAACGTAGCCTATGAGACGTGGATCATTTCATTTACCTTGTACCAGTCGGGCATTGGTCAACCGTGGACCCAAAGTGACAGCAGCTCGGTAATTCGATGGAAGCTTGAGGTCAACCCTCGGGAATGCTGTTGATCCAAGAACACCAGGCACCGCTCCATCCTTTGACAGAAGGCCGATGACAGAAGCCTCTCGACGTGCCCCTCCCGGTCAATGACAACTGATTCGTCATTGTCATCAAAGTAGATCGCTGCATCCGCATCATCTGTTGAGGTTTGTGAAAGCCATTGCTTGGCGACGCTTTCGTTGGTGAGCTCCAGTATCTGTGCACCCACGTCAATAACAACGCGGATTGGCTGCTTCTGGTTACTGATGAGATGAATCAGCTCCTCTGCTCGCAACTGCTGGCCATGCTGGGATTGCGCTTGAATGCACTCCCGATTCTCCGGGCGTAAGAGAATCTCAAGCACCATGGCATTGGTGTGTAGCAGATTCGGCAGATCACGCTGAGGGGCTGAGGCGGGGAGCAGTGTTTGATTTTTATTTGTTCTACTGAACCCTGTGGTTAGTGGTTGATGGGGCCTGGAGGGCAAATCCCACGCTGAAGTGCTGAGTTTGAATGGGAACTCCTTGGCTTCTTTGGGGAAGACAACCCGAGACAAGTAGAAGTCAAGGATTGCTTTCTGATACTGGACATGCGGGTAGAGGATCTCATGCAGTGTTTTGGTATCATCCAAGTTTACCCCCGTAAGCGAACGTAAACCCTCGGGCAGGGCTGACTTGTCACGGGCTATCCACTTCAAGTACTCAGCGCCAGGGTCGTTTTCCTTGCCCAGAAGCTGAAAACACTGTTTTACTTGTTCCATGGAGAGACCAGAGTAATAATAGCTCAGACACGTCAAAGTCACGGCCACATCTGGATGCCCAAACTCGGCATGTTCCGATGGCACTCCCTTGGCTCTGAAGGGCACAGCCATCATACACCTCGAGGGGTGAAGACCGTAATCAACGTTCCAGCGTTTCGCCGATAAAGCGAACTGGAGGATACCATGAGCCAGGAGACCGCGTAGCACAAGCAACCTGTTCATGATCACACCTTCCCCAAATGCGCCTCGGAGAGTCCTTTCGTCTTGGGAAGTTATTGAAGTGGCAGAGACAAACCTGCATGCGCTCTCGTAGATATCTTGCGGCCAACAGTGAAGAGAAAGGCCAGGAAGGCCATCTTCAAACAGGGTCTGCGATATCAACTCAATGACAATCTCGACAGTCCCCGGTTTTAGAAAATGAGCTATCGGGTAGCGGACACCGCACCGCTCCAGGTCTAAAAAGGTCGGAGTTTGAGAGTGCAGTTCGCTCGCCTGGTCCTCGACCAGTGTGAGTAAGCTCTGGGCCATCTGCCACCTGTCGCTACTGCCGTAAAGGCACTGCTGAGTTCCCATAGTGTAAACCAGTTGGAACTTCGGATCCAGAATCTCATCACTCTCGTCGATGATGTTACGGCAGGTCTGCTGGATAAATCCCTCAAGCTGGATGGCTTCTTGCGCCAAGGCCAAGTCTCTGCTCACTAGATCTAAGCCCACCAGACGAAACGACAAAATGTGCTCTGACAGGGTGAGTAGAATGCCCCGAGACTGTTTGCACTCATCGTAAATGGTTCTCAGATTTCGGATCATTCCCTTGTGGATAGACGTCTCACGGGAGAACGGTATCTGGTAAACTGGTCGACCCAAGATTCCACCCAACTGCTGCGTTAGCAGGTTCCAGCTCTGTCGCAAGAGCGGCTTGGGAACGATGATACGAGGGATTTCTGAGCCATCTGCCAGACACAGCGCAGCCATTGGTGTGATGACCGTGGTTTTCCCTTCTCCCATGTTGAGCTGTATGACCGCGTTTCCCGGAGGATCAGGTTGGATCAGGCGCTGGGCAATGTCCGCTTGTTGGCCTCGGATTGTTATGTGGTTTTCGAGTTCGAATAGTAGCCATTCAGGATGTGCTACAGGGTCCCAGTTCTCACATCGGGACACCTCAGCTTCTTTGTAAAATCCTTCAACATCATGACGATCCCAGCATACCAACATTCGTTCACATCGCTGAAGCGAGGCAATGCTTTGAGCAAGGCAAAGCAGAATGCTCTGCCATGACTGTGGCACCGACTTCCAGTGCTTCATTACCAGAAGCGAAGTCATCGTGAAGGGTGTGACTGCTGGCCAAAGAATAGATTGTGCCACGGCCTCACAGAGGTTTTTGGTGGTTGACAGTGTCTCCTTGATTGCTGCCCAGCAATCGTCGCATTGTTGTATCAAATCCCTCCGATGCGAATCCAGTACCTCCCTTGACACCAGTAGCAACTCCGGTAACAGGGCAGTTTCTCGCTTCACCATAGCTTCAAAGCTCTCACGTAACCTCACCCCCAATTCATTTCGAGTGTGGCTCTGAGAGTCGCGTAGCTCCTCGACGACATTGCGAAGCTCAAGTGTGCTACTGTCACAGTGATGATCATCTATCCGTGGTCTGGAGAACTGGATAGATGCTATCAATGATTGGGCTGAGGGCGGCAAACAAGATCGTACTCTATCCAGTAACGAAGGAAGCCTGAATGCAGGGCTGGTTGCAGAAACAGGGTGCGATGGTTCCGAGGGCAGCTGCGAGGGAGCTCTTGCGACTCCGCCGTGGGAGTTGAGCCGATCTTGAACTCGGCGAAGAAAGATGAGAAAGATGCGATTGTGGTTCCACGTTGTGCAGAGACGGGCACACGCTGCAGAGGCAAGTGAATGATCCATGTGTGCTACCCAAGGCAGTTTCGGTCCATCGCATGGCCACTGATCCTCTACTTTCTGCAAACATTCTTGGACCCCATGGTCTATCTCCTTGTAGAATTGGGTTCTTTCCCTGTCAACTTTTGCCCACAAATCTCGCCACCTCCGCTCGGGCGTTTCGAATGACTTGCAATTTTCTCTGAGTGCAAGCTTTATCTCCCCTGCAAGGAAGTTTTCGCCGCGCCCTAGAGGAAGCTTATCGGACTCATCTGTAGGAAATATCGGTGCTGCGATGTCGGAGAATCGGTTAGAGAAGGCGATCGCAAGCAATGGGATGATGTTTGTCAGTTAGGGCGTCTTCTGAAAGGCAATCATGGAGAATAACGACATCAGATTATAGGCGTCGTTTTCCTTATTTGTCGAGCGACAGTACTCATAGATTGCACCCCATGTATCTGGAAACGACAACTGCAGAAGCTGAGTACATGTATAGTCCTTGAGAGGGAGAGGCCCGACCTGGACATGGCCCCAACCGGACACCGTTGAGTAAAGGTCCGGGCAGTGAAGGCCATGCGACGACCAGTCTCGAACCAGAGAAGCGACTTCATACACACGACCGCTTCGATCACTTCCGCTTCCCCGGTCACGAGACGCATAATGTAACGACGGTGGCGGCGCCGTGGTCTGAGATGCTCCTCCGAATTCAGAGCAGCGAAAGTGACTATGACGAGACCGCGCCCTCTCGAGGAGATGTTGAGCCCCCCTATTTCGCACATCGCGAAATCCCGTGGTCGTTTTAGTATCGCTGGATGGGTGAAATTCAGAAAAGGCTGCCGCATGATCCAAGATCTGAGTTACTAAAACCAGAAAGTCATCATGCTGTGCCATCTGTCCTAAGTCATTGGTCCAGTCGGCCGATTGCATGACTTCGAGATGTGCCGGATAATACGCCCGCAAGGGAGTCAGTCTCGCCAGGTAGCGTAGTAATTCCAGAAAACTTGACCTCAACGGCATAGTTGACCGAAGCTGGGCCTGCCGTAAGATCCGCAGAGCCTCGGCTGTTCCAGATCGATGCGTGGCAGGATCTGGTAGCACAAAGCCCGTCATGGCATGAACATAAGCCTGGTAAAGAGTGGCCTGCATGTCTGGAGGCCCACGAAGAACGTGCAAGTATCGGTCCAGCGAATACCGGAAATATCCAATACGCGGCGATTCTGACAAGGGTTCGATATGGACGATTGAATTGTGCTTTTTCTTGACTGCTATGACTTTTCCAAACGGCACAACCACAGACCGATGCCGTTGATCTTGCGTGTCACGTATAATCAGTTTGTTCCGCAGCCCGTAGAAGCAGCCAATGTCCTGGTCACTATCTACCACGGCGCTCAGCTCGCGAGACTGCAGCGCACCCTCTGCGTTGATGAAGAATCGTAGGCGTAATCTAACCATCTCGATTTGAATAGACTGGTCAGAATCCAGATACACAACCATGTGTTTCGGCTCGTCAAGCGTGCTCAGGATTCGAGACAGCTCGTGATAAAGCTGGCTGCGGATGTCAACCATGGTAGCATTGCCCCGTTGCATGACCGAGAGTCGTGTTTCCACCCGATAAAAGCACAAGCCCCAGTAATTCTCCTGAGGCTGCCAGGCCTCATCAAAAGGACGAAACTCCAGGACCGTCTCTTTCAGGTCAAGCCAGTGCGCATGGTTGGTGGTGAGACTATGTGGAAAGTCACCTTCAAGCCTTCCGGGGGGGATCAGGCGATAAAGAGCCCCCCCAATGCCCAGCCTGAATAATGAGCTCTCCGGCTTCAATCATGAAGTGAACCTCAAAGACTTCGTAAGCTATGATTCGTGGTTGCATGTTGAAAGCTTACCTGAAAGTCACCGAATTTGCGGACCGCCATGAACCTGAAGCCAACCAGACTGGATGGAAGGACTTTTAGGACTCGCTAAATTGGGTCGTTAGTTCACTGTTGTTTCAAGAAGCAACGAGTCAAGTTTTATTCCCGGTACTCACCGATCCGAAGATGTGTCTATACAACGAGGTGTTACTGTACTCGTCTGGAAGACGACCAGGTGGGCTATTGTCAACCAAGAGCTCTCCGGTTAGGAGATCATAATGCACCTTCTGCTGCTTTTGCTCTCCATCGGTGCAGGTATAGTTCACGGCCCATCTTGCTGAGCTTCCCAGGCCGAACGTCCAAGGGTCGGTAATTGTGATCTTCGGCACGCTTTTGTGGATTGCATTGGTGAGACCCGAAGGGTCTTGGGTGATCAATGTACGGCTGCGCTCCTCAGCCTCATGGAGGATTCGCCCTGTCTGAATCCACGCCTGAGACTTAGTTCGTTCGCCTGAAGGTGTGTTTTCAAATACGAGAATGCAGGAGCGAGCGAGATAGAAAATATCCTCTGGGGTTTCCAGCACTAGGCACTGGTGTCGTGGCTTCAGAGCGTAGGTCAGCTGGCAAACTTGTCCAACCTGGCTAAGTAATGACCGATGCGTCTGGATCCTGGAGCCAATTTGAAGATCCAGGCTTTCGTTGAGATCTTCAGCCCATGTCATCGCAACCTTTCGGCAACGACGTAAGAAGCTGGCCGCGTGATCCGATGTTTGACCCTCAGCAGAGAGGCTTAGCGCTCGAAGCGCAAGTACGACCAAGGTCTGGAGATGGTTCAACTTGTTCCAATTTCCTTCAATCGATCCAAGCTGATGCTCTAGAGTCTCCAACAGTCGATTCCCGAAGTCTCGGTCACTGAAAACTCGGTGAGCCTCTCTCAAGTCTGTACTGGCACTCCAGGTGCCCAGCTCCCACGCTGCCTGACGAAATAGAAGCCCTACCGACGGACTATCCATGGAGAGATTACACGATGCAAGCTCACGGACTATACTGTACCATTGCACACGCTCGCCTGCCCGGAGACGACCAAAGGCAACAAATTCATGCAGACTCAGGGCGCTGTGACATATCTGTTGGTCGGCCAAGACCTTGTTCTCGGAATGATTGGACGATTTCAATGCATATTGAAGATTGCAATAGACGTCTTCCCTCAAGCGCAAAGTGCATAGATGCTTCACAGCAGACGCCTCTGTCTGGTCGGTGATCCAGATACGCGAATCTTTGTCTAACAGCTTGAACCGAAGCCCGTTTGGCAGTGCTACTTCGTCAAATCTCGCGGGAAAGCTTCTCCCGTTGTAGTGTGTGCGTAGAAATGACTTTGCAGTAGAGCCCATGGTCAGGCGTTGACCCAAGCCTGTGATAAAGGGTCGTGTTTCGCTGTATCGGAGAATATCTTCCTCCACAGCTACCCCTGCGCTGAACCCGGATCTACCAAGATCTTGTGTCATTTTCCACGTTATGTCACGCCATGCGGCGAGCCAGCGAGGGCAGTCTATCTCGAAGACCACAGCTTTCAGAGTAGTTTCATTCTCGGGGAGCGGCCATTCATGGATGTTGATAGTTATACCAGCGGCTTGCCTTTCCAGTGAACATTTTTTGCAACTGATACTGTGTCTTCGATAACCATCGTAGGACCAATAGAATTCGCACCCGAGTCTCCCGGCTTCTCTAAGCAGATTGCTGTGTTTCACCGACTTTTCCGACCATTCGTCCCTTTTTTTCTCGAGCTGACGTCGAGCGTGCTCTTCGATCCGTAACCGCAGCTGCTGGTGCTTTTGAGAAGCATCATAGTAGCGCGCCCCAAAGCATTGAGGCATCGGATCCTGGAGAATACTAGGGTATTGACCTGCATCTCTGTGTCTTTTTCGAATGTAGTCCTCGACTTTGTATGCCCTCTCCATTTGCGAACGTTGTGGTAAGAGCAGTGGCTCGAGGAAATTCGTCGGTATCTCTGGAGAGTAGTCTGCCAGAAGCGGGCAAAGTCTGACGCACATTTGATCGAGCGCCATCCACAGTTCCAGCATGGTCAGTACCATTATTGACACGGCTTCCGGATTGTCAGCGTAGATCGCACGCGCACGCCCATAATAGTCTCCGAACAGCGAGGCTAGGGCGGAGCTGAGACTCTCTGATGGTGTCAAGATATTCGTCCAGCCACCGAGCTCATATTCTACCCAGCGTTCGCAATCGAATATGGTGGGCAGATTGTCCTCCTGAACTGTAGGAAGTCCATGTGCGTTACGCGGTTCTCGAGCGGGATAGGTGCGACTGAACTGGGATGTTTGTACTTGGCTGGGCGCTCGTGTCATCGCATTTCGGAGATACTCCGAACAGTTTTTGAGAGACATTTGAAGGTCTTTTGAGGTGTGTTGAAATGCTTGTGGTACAACGACTCGATCGGACTTGCGGATAGTGGCCTGTATATCTTGCAGGGCTTTCAGGATTACCCTCACAGTGGAGTGAGCCTGCTTCGCAACGAACTCGTAGGCGGCACTCTGCAACTTACAGGTCCGACGAGCGATCTTCATGCGAATTATCTCCAGTTGGTCGGCAGAGACGGTTGGACGCATGTTTGTGGCCTGGAGTCCGAGCCTTGCAACGAGGTAGAGCATGAAATTTTTGAACTGCAATTGCCCCTCGTCCTCGGGGAAGGCGCGACGAAGAATCGTCTGCAGGGCAACGCGCATGACAAACCAATAAGGCGATCGTCGCCAGGGGAGCTTGCTACTCTTCCAGTTGACCTCATCACGCATATGCTTCTCGAATGACGGCCACTTGTTTCGTTCGCCGAAAGCTAGAAGTTGGGTCATCAGACACTCAGTAACCAGACCAGGATGTGCAGTATCTCTCTCCTCTGGCAGCGTTCTACCGGCCTTCGTAGAAGTTGGACTCATCTCGTCCACAACCTCAGTGGAAAGCCTTGTCAGGTCCCTTGCCAGCCAGGAACAGAACGTCGCCTCGCTCAGCCTGTCGCTGGGTATAGCCACACTCTGTCCGGGGAAACGGCGAAGTAGGCTCCCTTGGGCAGACAGCACATCCTTCGCAAGCGGTGATGCCTCAAAAGCATCGAAGATGACTTTTTTCTGCGTTGTATCATGGAATCCTATCCAACCGCAATTTTGGGCGCGAATATAGACAGCGATGGCGCCTAGTTCTCACATTAGCCAACCTCCGGCAAGCTTAACCTGTCACTGTACCATCGAGTCGAAGGTCGGATAGCTTCTGCGCTAGAGCTTGTTCGCAGGGCCCAGCTGGTTTCTGGATCTCCAGCCAGTTCTGCAGCATCCCATGAGTGAGATTCAACCCCGCTCTGGATTCCGACGGGCTCTTGCTGAGGTAGTCCTGGAGAACTGCCAGAACATACTCGTGCAGTTCCCTCTCTTGAGGCACTCCATTCTCTGTTTCATCTTCGTCATGCTCCTGTGGTAGCTTTGGGGGTAGAACGACATGGTGAAAGAGAAAGTCGAATGTTTCTTGCGTGAGAGGCATCGTGAGTCACTGATAACACTGTCCGACTGTACGTTGATGGTTCTCGATGGCATGAGCGGAGCCATCGAGTTCTTATATGCCTGCCCTTGACGTAGATGTGATGAAGGAAGGCGGTTGACGACAGAGTTTTCGGGGAGGTGAAGCTCGCTTTCGTGTCACGAGGATTGAAGCAGCGAAAGCGAGCTCATGACCAGCAGATTTGGGGATGGTGCCATAAAGTTCTAGCGTGGTTCCAGTGAATGTGGACAGCACCTGACCCACAGACCATTTTTACACTTTATATGGGACATGTTCAGCCCTGCGAGCCATATTTAGTCTCAAGTTCTGAACCCTCTTGGATCCAAATGACCACCAAGCTAGGGGTGCAGAAGAGGCCCCGCCTCCGGAGGGTGTCAGGACAGATGTCAATCGTGATGCTATTATGACGGAACGAAGTATACGTGATGAGGAATGACGGGTTCGGTGGGCAGTCGAAGCATGACTCCAAAGTGGCTATTCCAGGCTGATGCAATATCGGGGAAGTGAACAAAGACTGCCACCCGTTTCCGCCTCCGACACCTGCCCCGTGTCGGCCTCAGGCATATGTTTTCCTTTCGCCTCAGGCTTCAGCCCAGTGGATGCCTTAGGGATCTCCTCCTCCTGCCTCAGGCATCACTACCTTTCTTCACCCTCGCAAACCACACCATCTCTTCTTCCAGCCCCAACCCAAGCTTGACAGCTTTACCGTTTTCCAAAACAAATTCAGCAGGAATCAAAACCTCATATCCGTCGAGATAATCTTCTAGGCGCGCGATGTACTTCGACTGTCCCCCGACATGATCGAAGGTCAGTACAAACCCAAAGGAACGATCGGTCGCATCGACAAACAGCTGGTCATTCTTAGCCTTGACCGTCAGTTCATGAAACCCCAAATTCCTATATCGGCCCACGTAGGCGCTCAGGGGTAAGTGCTGAGGCTGAGGCTCGCGCACATCCGGGCACAGCTTTTGGCGCAGCTCCGTCTCGCTCGGGTTATCATCTTTTTCCCAGCTGGTCCACTCAATGCTATGCCAATCAGGGCGCTCGGAATGAGGCACTTGGAGAACCAGGTCAATCAACTTCCTTGCCATAATGGTGACCACCGGGATTGCCGTGTCTGAGTTTCCCAAGATCACGGCTCCGAATTGGAACTCAGGCAGGAAAAAGTGAGTGCTGCCAAAGCCGGCGACTGCGCCGTCATGACAGACCACCGCGTGTCCCCGGTAATGGTAGATCTCCCACCCCGCCGCGTAGAGGGTGAAGGAGGTCTGTGGCGCGAGTTCCTCCTCCCCCGGGTCCTCAATGGAGCGTGGCTTGAGAAGTCCCTTGTAGAGGCTCTCCGTCACCGGGCCTTCGCGATGCATCATGGCTTTAACCCAGCGGATGTAGTCGTTCACGCTGGTGATGATGGAGCCTGCTCCTTGAGCTTCGGGGCAATCTGGCGTCTGAAACCCACGGTAATCGCGCTGCTCTTCCTTCCAGCTGTAGCCCGTGGCGATACGGTCGCCCAGTCCTCGATCGCGCGCTCGTTGCGGCTGGAGATTGGTGGAAGCCATGCCCAGCGGGCGGAAGAAGCGGTCCTCCAGGAAATCGGCGAAGGATAATCCGGTCCTCTCTTCGACCAAATGCGTTGCCACGGTATACATCATGTTGCAATACATGTACTTGGATCGGATGGGGGCAGCGAGAGGCAGATGTCGTAAATTCCGGGTGACAGATCGCGCCGTATCCGGGGCACTCGCCCGCGGACTGAGGTAGGAGAAATCGTGCCTATCGGTGTCAGTCTACTATCGGGTGTGCGTCAGTATTGGTTGAGTCAGTCTCACGGAGCCATGCCTGTCCGATGACTCAGGATATCATCTACAGTGACCCCTGCGGTTGATTCTGGATCTTGTAGGACAAAATCATCGGGCAACAAAGCCGACATAGGAGCGTCGTACTGCACCTCCGGGTATTGCTCATCATCCTCGACCAACAAGGCCACGGAGGCCGCGGTCAGGGATTTGGAAGCAGAGGCAATATCGAACAGGGTGTCTGGTGTGCAAGGCTGTGGGGGATTGAAGGACGCACTCCCGTATCCTGCTGAAGCGATGCGGCCGTGGTGAACAATAGCCAGGGCAAGGCCTGGCACATGACGTTCGTCCAGGAGTCTCTTCACACGGTCGCTGAACTCGTTGGACTGAAGAAAATCAATGATCTCCATTGAAACAGTTTTGACAGGTACTCTGGCAATGCCTAGGCACGTGGCTCCGATTTATACTCCCAGATTCAATGGGTCGTGTGGTAGTATACGAAGGTTGCTTTGGAAAGGAGGGGTAAACTGCCCGCCTTGCAGGTGCTTGTGCCACGCTGCATCAGCCACAGTAAGCCTCGATTCTACCCAAGCGCCTCCGGATGCTTTGCCACTGCACTTTCTGTAAGTTAACTAACTCGTGCTCGGGAATTGGCCGTGTGTTGGAAACAACTGAGAGCTTCAATACGTGGCAAAAGCTTGATATTTGTAGATGGGAGGGAGTACTGCGGCGTGCCAATTTCCAAGTCTCACACATCGTCCAACACATTGCACCATCAACAAAGAAGTAACACAGAGGTATCATCCAAAACAGACACGCTTGACATATGATTATAAACAGAGGATGCTCCCGAGAGAAATAGGCGGTCTGGGATGAGACGCGAGGAAGCGCCGTCCTGGTGCATGGATGGTATGGTTGCAACCCGCTGCAGCCTACGACCCTCTAGCAGCAATGGTCTGGACGATGATATAGTAGGCCAGCGCCAGGCCGGTGACCACAACTTCATCGGTGACCGGACCGCTCGGTAACCGTGGGTCGAGCTCGAGGCGACCCGCCTTGGTCATTGTCCAGCCCCGATTGGGGATGAAAGTGGCGACCACGGTGTCGTGCTCATCGCGGCACTCCAAATACGCCGGGTTCATGTATTTAGGGTTCTTCCAGGTGAGGACTCGGCCGTTGAGAGCCGGTGACTGGAAGGAAGCTTCGTACTTGAACAGCCCGCGCGGCTTGAAGGCGATCTGATGGCCGTTGACGCTGACATCGATGGAGCGGGAGAAGGAGTGGAAGTTCACCGTGGCTGGCAGTCTGGCGCTCCCGGTGGCCTGGAAGATCATATGCGGTTTGCGGAAGTTGAGGTCGGCGGCGTAGACGAGAGTGCTCTGGTTGGGCTGGTTGGGAAGCCCTTCGGTGACTTCCAGGTGCTTGCCGGTCCAGCTGGTAAAGTCGACATTGAGGGATCGCGGTTGAGACATGATGAGAGAGATATGGGGTACATTTGCTGTCGCAGAAGTGACCGTACATCTCAAGACATTTATATACCTATACTCTCAGCTGGAGTGCATTCAGCCTTGTGGCAGTGGCCAGTCTCCGATGCCGCAGGGGGGGGCGGCGTCCGTCCGTGCCTGAGGCTGTGCCGCCAGCCTCGCTGATCATTGGCTGCGCCGTCAATTCCTGTTTGGGAATACGAGCGGCTGGGCCCGTGCGGCTGCGTGCCTGAAGACACCTCAGGACCCCGTCCACGGGCGGAGAATCAGGATCAGGATCAGCCCTGTAGGCTTACATTGTACTGTGAAAAATGTTATGGTCGAAGTCTCTTTGTTCTAGCTGGATGACGCAGTCTATGTTCACGGACAACTTCTGTTTTGCAGTTCCTGATGGCTGTAAGCACTGTGGCAGCCCATGTCCAGCCTACCTACCATAATGCCGGGATATATACATAGCGGGCCGAGGGGGTAAGTTATAGTGGTTGTACTGCGGTTTGCTCCAGTTATATAAAATTATAATAAAGTTATATAAAGTTCTGACTAATTATAAGCTCTTTAAATCTAGAAGTATTAATCTTTATATAAATAATAAATTATATTAAAATTATATCTTTTTTACTAGATCTAAAGTAGTTTTTATACTATTTATTATTATAATATACTTTAATCTTAGAGTTATACTAACTGTTGTATTCTCTATTTATATTTATTTATAATAATAATTTAAACTGTTATTAAAATTATTCTACTCTATAAACTAAGATATAAGTAAGTATAATCTTATTTAAATCTTACTAAAAATAAATATTATCTCATCGAAATCTTACTAAAAATAGATATTATTTTATCGAAATCTTATTTTATTATTTATTTTTTTCTTAATATAGTCTTTCTAATTTTTTATATATATAATTATTTACTAAAGACTAAAATCTCTTTTTTATATAATATATTTTAACTTTTATATTTTTTATTATTTATTTTTTTATTCTTTATATTAATCTTTCTTTATTTTTTTATTCTTTTTATTAATTTTTTTTTATTTTTTTATCTTCTGTATTAATTTTTTTATTTTTTTAAATATATTCTGAAGTTTGTATTCTTAATATTCTTAATATTTATTTTCTTTTATCTATAAGTAAGATAAATAAAATTAAATTTTAGTATTTATTTCAGTTTTAAAACTAAGATTTTAATATTTTTTTATAAGTAGTTCTTAAAATTATAAAATAATATCTAGTAATTTTTTATAATATATAATAATACTTTTTCTTTTTTATTATAATATACAGTAATTTTTTATAATATATAGTAATTTTTTATAACATCCAGTAATATAACCGGGCTGTATAATAAATTAATTTATTTATTAACTATATATAAAAAACTTTTAGATAATATATATTTAAATAATAGTAATAGAAATAAAAATAAATAAATAATAGAACTCGATCTTAAAAAAGAATATATAAAATTATAAAAAATATTATATTTAACTTTATATAAATCATAATTTAACTGGCTAAAGTTATTATTAGTTAAGTTATATTAAATTAAACTATAAGACAACTACTTAAAATATATAAAAAAAAAATATCTTACTAAAAATAATACAAAAGTATCTAGTCTGTAGTAAAATAAATAAATAATAATAATTCTTAATACTTATTTTAAATAAGTAGAATTAGAATAAAGCTGACTATTTTACTTACTTTTTATAAACAGTAAAGTATACTAATAAAATAAATTATAAAAATATTTTCTTTCGGCGGAATATAAGTAATAACAAAAAAAAAAACTATCTGAAAAATCTATACTATTTTTATTATAATATACTTACCTAGTTAAATCAACTAAAAGTTAGAAGAAATCTTTATTTTTAGAATTATTTACTTTAAAAATAAGTAAAATAACTAAAAATATTAGATATTAGACAAATATAAAAAATTCTTATAAAAAATATAAATCTGTATAGGACTAGAAAGTCAGATTATTATATTAAAAAAAAAAAAAATAAATATAGAAAAAATAGTAACAGAGCCATCTAATAATATAAAAAACTTAAAAATTAAAGTTTCTAAATTAGGTTTTAGTAAAAATAAGTTTTAATAATAAGTTAAAATTTTAAATAGAAAAAAATAGCTGTAATTCTTCTATAAATTAAATATTTATAATCCGACTAAGTTTTTCTAGTTAATAATAAAGATAAATTAAGTATTAATTTTAAATAAACTAAGAAATCTTACTAAAACCGAAAAACTCTTAAAAAAAATAAATAAAAATAAAAATAAAAATAGTCTTAAAAAATTTACTAAAAATATTAGAAATAATATTTTTAAAGTATTAAAGTATTTAATTATATCTAATTTTAAAGCTCTACTAATAATAAATAAAAAAAATAATCTAATAAAAATTACTTTTAAAAAGCTTAAGAAGCTGAAATTAGAGTGGATTAACCTGACTGTTATATCTTAACCTTAACCTAACCATAACCTAGCAGTCAGGTTAAGATATAAAAAAATTTTAACCGTACGGTTATAGTTAGATTAAAATATAACTATTATTTTAACCGTTTATACCTGCCGGCCAGAAAAATTAGATATAATAAATAGATTAATAACTGTAGATTAATTAGTAATATATATATCTTTTTTATATAAATAATATATAAAGTATAATATATTTTTAATTATAGTATAATAATATTATCTAGATTTAGCTTATCTACTCGATCTATTTAATTTATTTAATCTGTTTAATTTATTTAATCTATTTAATCTACTTAACCTCTTTCTTTATAGTCCCAAGAAGTATACTATACTTTAAAAAAAATATTTATAAAATCCAGTATAAGAAATATAAAATTTAATATTAGATAAACTAATAAAATTATACTATTTTTTATATTATTTAGAATAATAATTATAATAGTAAAAAAATTAAGAAGACCGGATCTTTATCTTTATCTAAGTATATATAATATTCGAAGATTTAGATAAAGCTAGTTTTTCTATTTCTAATAATAATTTATTTTTTAAATTATCTTTAAGATTATCTATATTCTTATTTTTACTAATATAAAAAATAGTAATTATTTTATTCTTTTCTTACTTCTTAGATATAAAGATAATTAAATTCGGATTAAAATTATTAAGAATATTCTAGTATTTCTTATTAATAATAAAATAATTAATATATATCTAAAGTATTACTACTTTAATTATATTAGAATAAAAACGGTTCCGGTGATAATAGCAGATATCTTAAGAATTATTAAATAAATATTTAATACTAATACTATTAGTAGC